ATCTATCTATCTATCTATCTATCTATCTATCTATCTATCTATCTATCATCTATCATCTATCTATCTATCTATCTATCTATCTATCTATCTATCTATCATCTAGCTATCTAGTACACACACACACAACACACACACACACACACACACACACAAAACACACATCCAAACACCAAGTTCCAAATGCCATTGGGAAGAGCTTTGTTTTCAGTCATTTCTGAAAGGCATAAAATAAAATAAAAATAAGCTATTCCAGAGGGTTGGTGCTGCTATTTTTACCTTGATTGCATTATATCTTGATAGGAATTGCTTGTTTGCCAGTGAAAGGTTTGCCCTGAGCAGCAAACTTCAGAAAGGCCCAATGTTGGAACCCCTATCCGGATGGACCTCGTTGGCTGTAGGGCCTTTCTGGGTGCCCTAATCAAAACAGCTGCCCTGGGTGCAAATTCCTGGCTGATAGACAGGAAACTCCCTCCACCTCCCAGCCAACCTTAGCCTCTATCAGCCTCCTTCTTGAAGGCCAGTCAACTCAGCTGTGGTCCTTTTTCCAGGGCGGTGGGCATTCTTCCAAAGCTCTGGCTGCAGCCCTCCACCCTCTTTATTGTCCACAAATGGTTTTTTGGGGGGGGCTCTACCTCCAGTCCAAAAGTGCCATTTTCAACCTGCCAGCCTGCCATTTGTTCTGAGTTCGTTGCAAGCCTTAAAAGCCAGGAGGTGCCAACTTCAGTGCTGTGGACAACTGGTGCCTCCTGGGGCTTTGCTGCCCCAGCCGGCTATGCTCCAACTGGATTGCACCCTCTCAAGAGGCTTAGGGGGCCGCGGGGAATCCCAGCTACGATGCCCTGCTGAATCCGGCTTAGTCCTTTGGCTGATTGATACCCCAAATGGACCCCTGCCCGAATCCAGGGATGCCCAGGAGATCCCCTGCGCGGGGGGATTCCACGGGGGGGGGGGGGGGGGGGGGGCTTCAATTTGGCCACCTCCCCAACATCTGGGCGGCCCGACGGGAGGCTAGAGCCCCCCCTGTTGGCTCGGGGCCGATTCCGGCAACTGAGACCCCCTCACCCCAGATTTGGAAAGGCGCCCATCACCCAACAACCGAGACCACCACTCC